CAAAACGAAGACCCAACACCACAGGATGGCTAGGAAAACACCAGGCGGGGAGGGGGAGGGGGGCAACAACAGCGCATGGAGCCGTAGAGACCAACAAAAACGGAAAACCGGAGAAAGGTAAAGGTACGCACACTGTGCAATGCTGGGCTGCTGGCGTGATTTGGACCACTGCCCTTCAACAAGCGCATGCGGCTAGACAGGTCCCTCGGCCCCTTTTTCCCAACCATCCTGTAGTGTTGGGTCCTCGTTTTGAAGAGACGGTCCCCGCTATCCTTTCCTCATTTCCTCCTCTCCTCCTCCTCCTCCTCCTCCTCCTCCTCCTCCTCCTCCTCCTCCTCCTCCTCCTCCTTCTCCTCTTCCTCCTCCTCCTCCTCCTCCTCCTCCTCCTCCTCCTCCTCCTCCTCCTCCTCCTCCTCCTCCTCCTCCTCCTCCTCCTCCTCCTTCCTCCTCCTCCTCCTCCTCCCTCCTCCTCCTCCTCCTCCTCCTCCTCCTCCTCCTCCTCCTCCTCCTCCTCCTCCTCCTCCTCCCTCCTCCTCCTCCTCCTCCCCTTCCTCCTCCTCCTCCTCCCCTCCTCCTCCCTCCTCCTCCTCCTCCTCCTCCTCCTCCTCCTCCTCCTCCTCCTCCTCCTCCTCCTCCTCCTCCTCCTCCTCCTCCTCCTCCTCCTCCTCCGCTCCTCCTCCTCCTCCTCCTCCTCCTCCTCCTCCTCCTCCTCCTCCTCCTCCTCCTCCTCCTCCTCCTCCTCCTCCTCCCTCCTCCTCCTCCTCCTCCTCCTCCTCCTCCTCCTCCTCCTCCTCCTCCTCCTCCTCCTCCTCCTCCTCCTCCTCCTCCTCCCCTCCTCCTCCGCCTCCTCCTCCTCCTCCTCCTCCTCCTCCTCCTCCTCTCCTCCTCCGTCCTCCTCCTCCTCCTCCTCCCTCCTCCTCCTCCTCCTCCTCCTCCTCCTCCTCCTCTCCTCCTCCTCCTCCTCCTCCTCCTCCTCCTCCTCCTCCTCCCTCCTCCTCCTCCTCCTCCTCCTCCTCCTCCTCCCCTCCCTCCTCCTTCTTCCATGCGTTTCACCCACCCAGCACAGCGTTTCGTGGCCCCATAAGGAGCTCCACCGAAGCCCCCAATGGGGCCGCCCGCATGCGCCCCCCACACCCAATTTGGCATTTTCACCCACCCAATGCAGCGCTTCGTGGCCCAATAGGGAGCTCCACCGAAGCCCCCAGTGGGACCGCCCGCGTGCGTCCCCCACGCCCAAGTTGGCACTTTCACACACACACACACACACACACACACACACACACACACACACACACACACACACACACACACACACACACACACACACACACACACACACACACACACACACACACACACACACACACACACACACACACACACACACACACACACTGCAGCGCTTCGTGACTCCATAGGGAGCTCCGCCGAAACCCCGCACGCGTCCCCCACATGCAATTTGCCAGTTTCACCCCACCCACTGCAGCGCTTCGTGACCCCATAAGGAGCTCCACCGAAGCCCACAGTGGGACCGCCCGCATGCGTCCCCCACACCCAACTTGGCATAGTCACCCGCCCAGCACAGCGCTTCGTGGCCCCATAAGGAGCTCCACCGAAGCCCCCAGTGGGATCGCCCGCAAGCGTCCCCCATACCCAATTTGGCACTTTCACCCACCCACTGCAGCGCTTCGTGACCCCATAGGGAGCTCCACCGAAACCCCCAGTTAGATCGCCCGCGTGCGCCCCCCACATCCAATTTGGCATGTTCACCCACCCAATACAGCGCTTCGTGGCCCAATAGGGAGCCCCACCGAAGCCCCCAGTGGGACCGCCCGCATGCGCCCCCCACGCCCAACTTGGCATTGTCATCCACCCAATACAGCGCTTCGTGAGCCCATGGGGAGCTCCACCGAAGCGCCGTGTGGTACCGCCCGCATGCGTCCCCCCCACACCCAATTTTGCATTTTCACCCACCCAGTACTCCGCTTCGGGGCCCCATAGGGAGCCTCACCGAAGCCCCCAGTGGGACCGCCCGCATGCGCCCCCCATTCCCAACTTGGCACTGTCACCCACCCAGCACAGCGCTTCGTGGCCCCATAGGGAGCCCCACCGAAGCCCCCAGCGGGGCCGCCCGCATGCGCCCCCCACACCCAACTTGGCATGTTCACCCACCCTGTTTTACAACGTTTCGCGGCCCCATGGGGAGCTCCACCGAAGCCTCCAGCGGGACCGCCCGCATGCGTCTCCCACGCCCGAGTTGGCATTTTCACCGACTCACTGCAGCGCTTCGTGACCCCATAGGGAGCTCCACCGAAACCCCCAGGGGGACCGCCCGCATGCGTCCCCCACATCCAAATTAACATCTTTACCCACCCACTGCAGCGTTTCGTGGCCCAACAGGGAGCGCCACCGAAGCCCCCAGAGGGACCGCCCGCATGCGCCCCCCCACACCCAGCTTGGCGTGGTCACCCACCCAGTACAGCGTTCCGTGGCCCCACAGGGAGCCCAACCGAAGCCCCCAATGGGACCGTCCGCATGCGTCCCCCACACCCGATTTGGCATTGTCACCCACCCAGTACAGCATTCCGTGGCCCTATAAGGAGCTTCACCGAAGCCCCCAATGGGACCGCCCGTACGCGTCCACCACGCCCAATTTTGCATTTTTACCCGCCCAGTACAACGCTTGGACGCCCCATAGGGAGCTCCACCGAAGCCCCCAATGGGACTGCCCGCATGCGTCCCCCACACGGAGCTTCACCGAAGCCTCCTCTGGGACCGCCCGCATGCGTCCCCCACACCCAATTTGGCACTTTCACCGACCCACTACAGCGTTTCGTGGCCCCATAGGGAGCCCCACCGAAGCCCCCAGTGGGACCGCCCGCATGCGTCCCCCACACCCAATTTGGCATTTTCACCCACCCTTTACAACGCTTCGCGGCCCCATGGGGAGCTCCACCGAAGCCCCCAATGGGACCGCCCGCATGCGTCCCACACGCCTAACTTGGTATTTTCACCCACCAAGTGCAGCGCTTCGTGGCCTCATAGGGAGCTTCACCGACGGCCCCAGTGCTACCGCCCGCATGCGTTCCCCCCCTCGCCCAACGCACCGCTTCGTGGCCCCATAGGGAGCTTCACCGAAGAAGATATTCACAATTGTGGCACCCACAACTTCATATGGTTGGGTCCTTCGCCAGGATATTTTTTGTCATGGAGCGTCTACCCCTCTTCCATGCACAACGAGAGCTATACTGGTTGTCTGAACTTTTCCGGGAAACACTACGCACGTAGGAAACAACGAACGCGACCCTGGCAGGAGGAGGCGCTGTGCCACGCCGCGGTGCCTTGCCGTGGCGCCATGCCGCCGAGCTGGGCCGTGGTGCCGCACCACGGTGACACGCCACGGTGCCGCGCCGCTGCCGTGCCGCGGAAGTCTGAGACCGACACGTGATCCAGGGGGGCAAAGGCGCTGTGTCATGGCGCACTGTGTGTGAGGGAAGGGTTGGCCGAAGGGTCGATCCCCTCCCGAGTATCCGTCGGTGTGAGCGGCAACAATGAACCTTGCTACCAATATACTTTGCGAGCGAAAGGGGCAGCGGTACAGGAAAGAGTAGGAAGGTACGGGGATCACTCACACACTGAAGGGCCCAGAAGCGATATGTTGGGACAAAGGTGCCGTGCCGCGCCATGGTGGCGTGCCGCGCCGTGCCGCACAACACAAGGACCACGGGCAATCGTGCGTATTGTGCCGCACCGTGACGTGCCAGGCCGCAGTGACGTGCCGTGTCGTGGCACAGCCAAAACGCGACATGAATGGCAAGGAGTGGCGTGCCATGCTCTGACGCGCAATGCCCTGGCCATAATCAACCACCACGCGCCTTGCCGAGGTGCTGTGCCGTGCTGTGCCGCGCAGCACAGAAGGCCCAAAACTTGGCCTCGTGTACTAAGACCTGCCGTGCCACGCCATGCCGTTACGCGGTGCCGTGGCGACGTGCTGCGCAGCGCCGCGGCGTACACGAAAGCCAACGACCTGGTGGACATCTAGAAGGGCAGGGGTGGGGGGCCTAAAGCTTTGATGACCCAAGTCAAAACACCACCCCCCTGTCTGGGGTCCTGGCGGGCCCCAGGGGGCTCGCTGGCGAAACTCCCGGGTCCCCCGGGGGGGGTCGCCAGCGGGGGTCTCGGGGGAGGTCCCGCCTCTTGGGTGGGAGGGGGGGTCCCGGGGTAGAATACCGCCCCCCAAGAGTCCCGGCGAGGCCCTGACGGGGATCGCTAGTCCCGAGGGAGGTCCCGCCTTAGGGGTCGGCGGCACTGGCCATAAAGCCTTCGCAATATGCCTTGGTCAGTGCGTGGAGGACCGGTGCTGCTACCCGACGCCAGATCTGGATCCCACCTTCTGATCTGAGCCCAAGATCCCACCTGGGTGTCGTATCCCTGCATTCCCATGTCATCTACCTAATACTGCGTCGCCTCACTGCTCTGCTCCCCGTCAAACATTTATCAGCCATTGCGTTGCTGGACAGAGGCGCATGCGACTCTCCTGGCAGACGTGCCGTATGCCGAACATGCAATTTGGTGAGGAGTCGAAGGCCTTGCCATCCATCGCCCTCTCGCTCCCCCCCACACCCGAACACCCTGCGCACCTGCACGACACAACAGCAACGTGCCACACTGAAAGACAGCGCGGAGGGAACAAGCACCGACATAACAAATAATGGCATACCCCATATCAAACCCTTCACCGAAAACTGTCTCCACCAAGTCATGTCCTCATCCAGGTAGAACGTCCTGAGGCGAAACGTGTGGACACTCAGAGTGGACTGTGGAAAGCGCACAGACCGGACCACGATCGCCAGGACCTGCTTTGGTTGAAGGGGGGGGCCCGAGCAGCAGACACGGCACCGCCGAGCAGCGAGATCCCGTCGGACACGGCGTGGGACCCCTCCTCCTCCTCCTCCTCCTCCTCCTCCTCCTCCTCCTCCTCCTCCTCCTCCTCCTCCTCCTGCCCGAAGCCGGATAAAGATCGCAGACCTGAGCGGTGAGGCCAGAGCACCGGCCGCGGAACGTGCCCCCGCTATCACCCTCCGAGAGTGTGCGTACAGGGAGCTCGAGGCACCAAGCAGAAGCGCCCGGAGCGCACGCTTCGACGGGACAGCACGCGGCAGGAGGGAGGCCCGCGGGAGCACAAGGAAGAGGAGCAGGTGCGGTGCCAGTGTTGCACTCCCCTGGTCAATCATGAGCTTGCAATGCCACCAGGGCGGAACACAATTCAACAAACATTACCTCTGAAGGCAAGGTTGCATACTCGTGTGAGGCTTCCCTGTGCCAATTCGAAAAGAAGACATGTCTTGGCGCTCTCGAAAC